AGGCTAGGAGGGAGATCTGGCCGTCTGGTTGGGGTCTGGGGTGGTGGGTTGCTGTGCTCAGCGTTGGGCGGGGGAGCCTGCTCATCAGCACCCCAGCAGAAAGGGTCAAACTCTGGTAACCGGTGATGGTTGTACCCAATGTGCAGCAGTACCGGGACCAGAGTGAATAGGGTGTGTATGGGGAGCATGAGTGGGTGTCCGGCGTGCATTTTTGTAAGTCTTTGGTTGTATGTGCATGTGTGAGCATGAGGGAGGGAGTGTGTGACTGTGTTTGTGTATGACTGTATATGTCAGGTGGGGCCTTTGGGTCCTCCCCTCTCCTGGAACTTCTCTTGATGATATAGATCTCTGTCCCCCCTCCCCCTGCCACACCTGGTGTGGGGGCTTGTGCCTTGGTCTGCCTGACTGTTCGTGGCAACCGGGTCTGGGGGTTTAAAGATTTTGGCATCTGCCTGTTAGATCCCGGTGGCTGCCTGGTAGGGTCTGGGTCCCTGGGCTATGCTGGGTCCCCGGCGGGGGTGGTCGCCCCTGGGTCCCGGGTCGCTGGGTCCCGGGCTCGGCCGGCTAGGGGGTGGGAGGCTGCGGGCGGGCCTGAGGGCTTGCCGCTGATATCTCCGGGGACTCTGCCGGCTGCTGGTTGTGGCCCCCCGGGGCGATCCTCTGTGCCTCTCGAGGGGGGCGGGGGCCTTTCTGGTTGCAGTCTCCTTGGGGTTCCTGTGTTCTGGGACAGCGCCTGGATCTCTGGGACTTGGAGCTCCCCCCGTCTCCTGCGCATCTTTGGGGGACGGATCTGTGGTCCCTCACACTCTCTGTTGGACGCTCCTATAGATAAACCTTAAATAAACAAGCACGTGTACACACACAGGTGCTCACATGGTGCTCTCAAAAGTATGGGCTTGGGCACGTTAAACACAGGTCTTAAGACTATGGTGGGCACTTAATATGTTGTGATTTATTATCGTGATTCTTCAGTTAAGCAATGTTGATTATATATATATATATTTTCTTTTCATCAAGTTGACGCAGTGAGAGGTAGATCTTGTTGTATTGTTGTTGTGTCCCTTTTTTGTGTCCCTTTGTTTTTTTTGTCTTTTTTCTGCAGGTCTAGAAGCAGACTCTTGTTCATTATTGTTTATTTTTGTGGAACCCCCCCCCCCCCCCCTCTCTCTCCCCACCTTTTCTTTTTCTTTCTCTTTCACCTCTGTCTCCGTGTCTGGTCGGAATTACAAAGCATTCAGCATCAATAACAATAAAGTTTTAAGTATCAGGCGTGACATTAAAAGCAAACGCTTTGATGCTCCACCTGAGAGTAAATCTGTAAGGCTTGTCACCAGCATTCAGACATCAATTCTGCTTGCTTCACAGCCAGACAGGACACGGTAAAAAAAAAAAAAAAAAAAAGAAGGGCATTGCAGTAATCGAGGCGGGAGATGACAGTAGATTGCACCAGGAGCTGGGTGGCATGTTGTGTTAGGTATGGTCTGATCTTTTGTATGTTATACAGCGCAAAGCGGCATGAATGAGCAACAGAGGCAACATGATCTTTAAAGGTCAGGCGTTCATCAATACAACACCCAGGTTTCGAACTGCCTTTGAAGGAGAAAGAGATAGGAAGTCATTTCATATTGAGATATGACTTGATTATTAGTATTCTGAGCTACTACAGCAATCAATTTCCCTCTGGGATTAATAAAGTATTTTTGAATTTGAATTGAACTGAATATTGTGCTGTATGGATAGTTTTGCTGGGATGACAAGTAGTTCAGTTTTAGAGAGGTTGAGTTGGAGATGGTGGGATTTCATCCATTTTGATATGTCAGAGAGACAATTTGATATTCGTGCAGAGACAGTGTGGTCGTCCGGTGGAAATGACAGATAGAGCTGGGTGTCGTCTGCATAGCAGTGGTAGGAGAAGCCATGCAGCGCCGGCGCTCCGCACACGCACACCACGCATAGCGCGTAGGGCACCACGCCGGGGGAGGGGCACCAAACGCAAGCTTATGAAAAAATAATATATATATGATGAAGACGGATTTCAATTAGAAGATGTGCAAAGCAAGTTAACAGCATGTTTACAGAGAGAAAACAATACAAAAAGGAAAGGAGATGGACCGTGTCCACTTTTCACTCTGTCCGGGCGTCCGGACTGGGGGTTCTTGTATTGATGAAAATGTCCGGCTTTTCATCCAGGAGCAGGGATCAAATTATGGGGGAGCTGTATATCCTACACACCCAGGGGAGCCGGAAAAAGTTTCTACCTATATTACATCATTTATGGACTCTTTTGAGCAGAGAGCACAAACAGCAGCACAGTGCTGATCCGTTGTTGCGCAGCGCTCCAGGCAGCTGCTTCCAGCGCACGGTCCATTCTCAAAGTGGCGCAACCAAAAAACTATAGTTAACACACGATCGTTCATGTCCGCACATGTTCTCTACTTTCTGTCTTAACTGTGCCTGAAGCGCTCTGCTACTGCGGAGCTCATCACCTGCGCTGCGGTGATTTCACCTCACTGACGCAGCATCGAAACGCGCTCTGCACTTTGCGGTCAGGAGATCCCTTTGATCTGCTCAAAAGTAACTGATGAGGTGAAAAAGTAAGAATCCAGGCAGCAGTTTTTCTGGAGAGTTTAGAAGAGATACAGGAAGATGAGAGACAGACAGGACAGGAAAATAGTTAAATAAAAACAAAACAAAACAAAGTGTTGAAAAGTAAAATGTAGGTAGATTGATCTCCACTACACGTTTTTACCTGTATAAAACAATAAGTTATACACATTTAAGTTTTATACATCTGATACAATTCAGATCACCTTCATAACTCAGTCACACACCCAGGGCCGTTTCAAGACATTTTGGGGGCCAAGGCAAAATGACCCCCCCCCCCCTCACACACACACACACACACACACACACACCACCACCACCCCAAAACTGGGCTCCCCAGAAGCCTCTGTGTGATTCATACCCTCTCCAGCAGTATTAGTTATACAGTGTTTATAAAAGCCCCTCAGACATTACTGACATGTTCTAATATTATCAGATGAAAAACTAACTTATCAGACATGCTGTCTCATCTGCTGCTTTTCTAAACTTGCTAAAAGTAGCAAAACCATTTGAAAGCCACTATTTGTGGATTCTCTGAAAGTTTCCATGGAGTGTGTGACAACTTATTTTATCAATGATCCTATCGTCTAATCTCACAGCTGAAACAAGCATCCTTAATAATCTGTGCACAGGAAGCTTATCTATGCTGTAGTAAAACAAAAGGTATAATAATGTCTCATTAATAAAACCTTGTTGCAGCACAAAAGCAGAAAAAATGAGATTTTGCAATAAATATGCTAAATATTTACATATGAATTGTTTTAGAGCCCCTTCATTGGCAGAATCTGATATTAATTTAGTTCTTACAAAAAATGGGTCCTAACATGGTTTGTGTGGCGTTGCCATAGTGTGACGTCATAGGCAGAGATCCCCTGTCCTCTGTAGCGTTATGAAGATTATAATTGTCTGCCCTTAACAGCTGCCCCTTCACACAGTAACATCGCCAAGGTCGGACGCTTTGTTCAGTAAGTTTACATTCCAGGAGAAGAGACAGAAGAAGAGAAGTAGAACGCTTTCCTTTAATTAAAGTACTTTATTCGTGATAAGCTAATCAAAGCACATGTTGATCATTAATAATCAGGTGAATGATCTGTGAAATAAAGATGTCATGAGTTATGTGTTCAAATGAATAAGCAGGACTGCACAAGACAGACTGATCTACATTAACATGGAAACGCATGACACATTGTTTTCAACCAATCAGAACTTTCGTCTGTCGTAGGGCAGAATCTGGGTTGTTTAATGAAAGTCGTCCAATCCGGTTTACTAAGATTTGTAAACAGTTAGGGGATATAAAATAAGGCAACGCCATTTTATAGTCAGTTCCATTTTAACCTCAGCTCTGTTCGATCCGAGCTCCAAAGGAGTTACATCATACTCTCAACATTGTTTTCAACCAGCTCTCAATCCATCACCGCCAAAAGAGAAGTACAGACTGGCCAGCTGTACTTTCTATTTTAAGCTGAGAACTGTCAAGCTGGAGATTTCCGTCGTTTGAACCAACAAAACGACGTTCCTTCAAAATAAGAGTGAACTTGCTGATGCCTGCCAACTGCTACCGGAGCCGACCCACAGACGGGCTTTGTAGTGCTGCGACCGCTGTTTCACCAGCTGCGGTACGTCCGAGGTCTGCGGACCTGGCATTTCCTGATCTACACGGGAGACTCCATATACGGTACGTGGTCACGGCAAAATGGCGGCTCATGCCATCAGCTTCTGAAGCCTCGTGGTAGCCTAGTCATAACAACCAGATTCGCTACGTCAGCCTAGAGATTCTGAACAACACACACACACACACCAACACGAAACATCCAAATCCATATGCATTCATCATTGAGATAGTCCTGGTAGAGTGTAAGAATTTATAATCATAGAAATTAAAGATTCTTAAACGATCCCAACTCTCTCTTTTCTTGTCTCTCAGTCAATACAAAGTGTTTAAGTAAACTCCCTGATGATAAAAACAACCACTTCTGATTAATTACTTAGATCTAATTACAGTGTAAAACTATACAACTTCAGATCATTACACCTCTTTTTTGGAAATGGAAATATGATCACCCTATATTAAACAAACTGTCCACCCGGGCTTCTGCGCTGCACAGAGACGCTTCGCTGCCTATAACTTTGAACATCATTTGAGAGCGGCTGAGAGTCAGTCTCATGCAGACTGACCAATGAAGAGAGGGCCTCAAGTTAAGACCCTCTCCTCATTGGTCAGTCCACACGAGGTGGGTCAAAGGTTACACTGGGCGGGTTACGTGATGTCAGGTATTCAAGTATTGAGTATATTTACTGCATATTACAGTAACATATTCTGTATGTGACCATATTATGGTGATCCTTGGGTCGTGATGATGGGGCCCCTGAATATTGTTGCCCAGGGTACAACAAAGGCTGTGTCTCAATTCAGGGTCTGCATCCTACGTCGGCCGGATTCGTCGGCCGGTTACGTCACAGCGCCGCGACTAGGCCTGTCCCAATTCGAAGACTCCTTCAAATGCGGTCGACGAATGCGGCCTTCTTTTCGCCTAAATGAAGGATGGGTCCGGTGTATCCTTCAACAGGTAGCATTTCCCAAGATGCCTTGCGGGCCGGCCGGCAGAAATACTTAAAAACAATGGAGGACAGTGAAGCGGGAGCTGTCGGAGAGGATTGCGCATATAAATGTCAGTATAAACTTGAAAACTGTTAGGTTAAGGACATTTTTGTGATACATGAACGTTATTTTAGTTAGAAATGTTACAGTAAAAGTGCTTGTATTGCGGTCTCGGCTCGTATGTTCGGCCGCGCTCGGTGTCGTACTTCTCCCGCTACGTTTTCCCCCTGATTTTAATAGAAGTTTGTATTTTAGGAACAAAAGAGAAAACCAGGGAATTTATTAAGCTTAGGGCGGAGATGGACCACATGATCACCGGAGCAAAGTTTTCGGCGGCTGTGGCATGGAGATACAATAACATCTCATATTTTACATAACTCGTTTGAGTTTATTTTTTTCTGCGAAAACATGAAAGGAATAACCCGTTGTCCTCTTTTCTCTATCTTTTCTCTATCTGTTTTTTCTTACATGTTTGTAATGGGCATCCAGGGGAAGGTGCCAGCGATGACCAGCTTCTGGAGCTGATCAGGGAGGACATGAGGCTGCAGAGGGCACAGGAGAGAAGGAAGAACTTTGACAGCTTTTTACTTTGCTAGAAAAAAAATGGTTAAGGAAGATTAAACATGTACATATAAAAGAAATATCTAAATAAAATCAGTTCTGCATTAAACTCTTGAATTTTATTTTTGTTTACAAATGAGAATTGTTTACTAGAGGGTATCCGCTGGGTCTTGAAAAGTCTTAAAAGGTGATAAATTGGTTTTGGTCAAATCAAGACCCTTAGAAAGTATTAAAAACTATTATCACATCTTTGCTCTGGCTCAGCTTGTCTAAAGTATTTTCTCTGAATTAGCTCTCCAACAGTCAAGGAAATGATTAACCCCCAAAGACCCACGGTTGTAATATTACAACATCAGATTTAAGTGTACAAGAATAAACCTTCCCCATTTTTTTTCTTTTTAAAACCACATTTACATTGCTAATGGGTCCTATTGTTCGGTTCTGCAACGCTATTGGCTGTTAAAATGTGTAAATAGGTCCGTTTATCTGGCCTCCTAGAACAACATGTGAAAGGTTAAAAAAAGATTTTTCTGTTGTTTTCTAAATTTGGGTTTCTGGGGGGTTACAAAGCTAAATAAAACGTCGAGCTCCATCGTTTAAAGTTCCTTCTCCCTTCTGCCCAGCGGTTCCACGGTTGCTAGGCGACGGAACGTTCGCCGAGGGAGTTCATGAAGGCTAGGCCTGTCCAAATTCACAGCCGTTAACATCCGGTCTACCCGGCCGACGGAGGACGCAGCCCACGTCGGCCGGGTGGGCTGGGTCCTTCGAAGGATGCAGACCCTGAATTGAGACACAGCCATAGTGTTAATCTGGCCCTGCCTACCGGGCATTCATTGGTAGCTGAGTGAGAGAGGCTGAGAGGGAGAGAAACTAAGAGAAGCTTTAGAGCTTTTTACTGCTGGAGAAAAAAAACGTAGCAAGTCATCATCTTCCCAAATGCAGTTATTCTCTTCTGAATCAGCAATTCTTTAAAGAAGAAATAGTTAAATGCAACAAAGGGAAATATCCTTTTATTCAGCCTGTTCATGTGACTTGTATCAAAAAGTAAGTCTGAACTAGGGCTGCACAATCTATCAAAAAATTATCGTCATCGCGATAACAGGACGTGGGATAGGCCCATCGCAAAACACGGCAAAAACAGCGATAAATGTTTGGTTCAAACATTTCCATCCATGTCATACATCAGCTTTTTGTAAACCAGCTCTGTTTTTTACGCGGAAGTATTATTTGACCAATCAAATGTAGCCCTTCTGATATGCGGCCAATCAGATGGGTCCGTTCACGTAATACGCCCGCCCCCTACGTAGACCCTTAGGATGGAAAGCAACACCCGAACTGAGTTAGCGGCGCCGTTCCCTTGTTCGTCTTGCTGGCTCAGAGCAACGAACGCACTTTGTGCTGATGTTTCTGGATTCAGCGCTGCTTTCAAACGTGAACGCGAGTCCGCTCGGTGTCGTTAAGCAGCTGATAATGACCGGGCTGACTCCGACACGTGCCGGTGAACCAACCCACCTCCCTACATGTCGCTAGTGTTCCACCGGGTGGTGGCTCCGGTTAGCTTCCAGTTAAAAGGCTACAGCCCTCTCCTCCCAGTCCCACCCTGCTAAAGAGGGCCTGGAAAAGTTCCCCCACATATCAAAGTGATTTTTCATTTATGAGCTTTTATAACCTTGTTAATCAGGATAGTTGATTTTCTGCTGCACACAAACTGTCAGTCAGAAGCTCTGCTAGCCTGTTGTCTTAGAGGAGCTAGTTCAATTTGTTAGCTTGTTATCAGAATCATAGTTGCAGTTTCATCATCTGAGATGCTTTTTAAGATCTAGGTAAACTTGTTTAATTTGGGGTTAAAACCAAACGTTTTCACATATTTTCCATGTAGTTTTTTTGCCAGTTCCTCTTCTGAAAGGTAGACAATTGTTTTTCTCTTTCCCTCAGAAAATGTTAACATTCTCCTAGTTTGGCCCAGCACAGTTCACTTCCCAATTGCAGCAACAGCCTTATATCATAACCACATAAGTAGAGAAAATGTTCAGTAGCAATGAGAGAATTTGCTGTTGCATTTAAGTGACGTTAACTATTATTTAACATTTAAACTTATTTTCTGATTTTATTTATTCAAAAAACCCTGGTAAGGGATATTTTTCTGTATTTGGACCATCAGAAAAAGTTTTACGGTGGTGGTGATGTTTTAAAGTCGCTGAGAAACTGCATGCATGCAGTTTGTTGTTTTGCTGCTAATACAGTAGCAGGTACAGCTGCATACTTTTGCAATAAAAATGCTATGTTGTAATGGAATTCATGCATTAGTTTTTGTTTGCTTTGAACCCAGAGCAGACGTCAAACGCCAGACGACATCAACACGGCATACTTTAGTATTTGTTCATTTATCGTGAGTAATATCGATATCGCAATATTAAGCACTGTTATCGAATATCGCAGGTTTTCCTAATATCGTGCAGCCCTAGTCTGAACAGTGTTAAAGGTTGTTAATCTAAAAATAAACCTTGAAGAGTTTGAAGATTTTTTTGTTTTAATAAGTTCATCTTAAAACATCTTTCTCAAGTAAAATAAATTTTCCTCTGTGAGGTCAGATAGGCCCACCTGTGCTGTTTTGAAACAGAAATAAACAAATTAATCAAATTTGTCCACCCAAATACTTGATAAATATCACAAAAAACAGGAAGGACAAAAACACCGTCAAGGTAAAGTAAGATTTTTTTTTTAAATAAGCGGCTGTTTGTGATTAATCATGAGTTAACTATGGACTATGTACATATCATTATTAAATAGCCTATGTGGCCTATAGGCTATGTAACTGAGATTTAATATGAAAAATTAGATAAACCTATTTTCAAATTAGGTATTTGCTCTATGTTGATATATATTTCATAAACATTTACGGGCCAAGAGGAACATCAGCTGCTGATGGTATGATTTGAAGAAAAAATTCCATTATGCTAACCTCCTCCCTTCATATTCAGAAATTTCTAGTTGTGTATAAAATGTGTATATTGTGCCTCTCTAGTTCTTAATAAAGGTTAAATAGTTTTGAATTTAGTCATGTCACATGCCAGTGATTGTGTTGTTTTTCCTTTGTGTGTGTGTGGGGGGGGGGGGGGGGGGGGCACGAAAACTTTGTGCTTAGGGCACCAAAATAGCTAGCAACGGCCCTGAAGCCATGTGATCGAATGATCTCACCCAGTGAGGTGGTGTATATGGCAAAGAGAAGAGGTCCTAGTACAGAGCCCTGGGGGACTCCTGTGGCAAGATGGTGCACGGTAGAGGATTGTCCAAGCCAAGATACAATGAATGATCGTTCTGTGAGGTACAATTCAAACCAGGCGTGTGCTTTCTCTGTGATGCCCATGCTAGAGAGTGTGAATAAAAGGAAGCCGTGGTGGACAGTGTCAAATGCAGCCGATAAGTCGAGCAGGATAAGCACTGAGGATTTGGCAGTCACTTTAGCTTCTTTTAGTTAGAGATATCGTGGCAAGCCCACAGGCCCGCCAGCAGCCTCCCACCCCCTAACCGGCTGAACCTGGGACCCAGGGGCGACTGCCCCCGCCGGGGACCCAGCAGAGCCCAGGGACCCAGACTCCACCAGGCAGCCACCGGGATTGTTCAGGCAGACGCCAAAAATCTTAAACCCCCTGACCCGGGAGCCACGACCCAGGCAGACCAAGGCATCGCACTCCAAACCAGGTGTGGCAGGGAGAGGGGAGACGAAGATCTATATCATCAAAAGAAGTCCCAGGAGAAGGGAGGAGTCAAAGGCCCCACCTGACATACACAGTCATACACAAACACAGTCACACACTCCCTCCCTCATGCTCACACATGCACATACAACCAAAGACTTACAAAAATGCACGCCAGACATCCACTAATGCTCCCCATACACACCCTATTGACTCTGGTCCCGATACTGCTGCACATGGGGTACAACCATCACTGGTTACCAGAGTTCGACCCTTTCTGCTGGGGTGCTGATGAGCAGGCTCCCCCGCCCAACGCTGAGCGCAGCAACACACCACCCTAGACCCCAACCAGACAGCCGGATTTCCCTCCTAGCCTCCAGCCCCAGGAAGCTAAACGACAACAGAGGTGTGCTAAGACCCCTAGTCTCCCTCTGCCTGCTCCAATATGGTGTTAGTGATTGTTGATGAGGTGTATTCCATGGCTGTGGTGAGCAGGCAGTGCAGGCATCTGATGCCACCACAACACCCCACTTGCACCCACAGCCGTCGGTGTAGTTTAAAATTGGAAGTGGGCACCGGCACTTGGGATGAGGCTGAGAAATACCCGTGCCAAATGCCATTGAATGTGCTCACTCCCAAGGCCTTAAATGTGTGTTTGCATGGAATGTCATTGGTGGACGTGTTTAAGGTGCAAATAAAATTGGGGGGCAGGTTGCCACAGGAATGTGGAAATGGCCGCAGCATACTTGCACTCCCTTGACTTTTCAACCCCCCAAGGTCCTATGTGCATGTTTGTGTGATGATGTGAGGGAGCAGGAGAGAAATGAGTGGGAATGGGGAGGAATGGCTGGTTGGGCTTAGCCCTCCAGGGAGCCAGGTCCCCCACTGGCCCCAATGGTCACCTCTGTTGTCAAAATGCCACCCAGGGCATGGAGACCCCAGCCCATCCTGCCAGGGCCCAAAGCAGCAGCATTGCAGAGCCTCACGGAGTCCGAGGGCACCAACCCAGCCCCACCCAAGCAGAATATTTACACCCATCCCAGCATTTGCACAACTTCCAGATTATATAAGACATAGGACATCCAGGTAAGGTTGGGTCCTCCCCCTCCTGGACTTCCCTCTCCCCTGTGATGGGACAGCAGAGGAGCCAAGGTCTACCTGAGGCCCCTTAACCCGAGTCAGGCACTGCTGCATGTTCTTGCCTTCTTCCTGGCAGCATACATGTCAGGACCCGACCCCCAAGGTCCCGCCCAGATCCCCCCACGGGGCCGGCCACCCCCACACCCCGAGCCCCCAGGCCCCCACCCAGACCAGCCCAGGGGTAATGCAGCTGCCGGGCAGTGACCCATGGCCACCGCTAAGACCTCCAAGGGGCCCCACTCACAACCGCCAGTAGTCCACCCCCAAGGCAACCCAAGCACCTCCAGAGGGGGCAACAGTCCCCCAGTCCCAGACACCCCCAGTGAACCCATCTCCATGGAACGTCCGGATAGAACAAACTCAGACCCTCCACCCCTCACCCAAATCATCCCGCAGGACAATATCAATGGTCCCCCATCATCGCTATGTGATGGAACCGATCAAAGGAGCCCATAGAGACTTATTTGAAGTGGAAGCAGAGGCTATATCAAGTGTAATATGATCTAACAAAAGATTTCTATACTGGTTGATGCAAAGAGTGTCTCTATTTTTCCAATTCAAAAGGATAGCTTTCTTAGCGATGCATATGGCAGTCAGAACCACGTGAGCCAAGGATGTTTCATTCGGGACATCATCCAGGTTTCCCAGTAAACAAAGAGAGGGGGAGGTTGGGATATGACATTTCAGACACTTTGACAGATCTTCACACACTCTACCCCAAAATTCCTGGACAGGTGGACAGGACCACAGTGAGTGAATGTAATTGTCAGATCCCATTTCTGATCGGTCATGTCACATTCATGACCAACCGTGTGAGAAAGTCAAATCCTTCAGCATACAGTCGCTCGACAGAGCCATCACCGACACTGCCCAGCTCACTATGTATGTTCGTGGTGTTCATGACAACTTTGAAGTGTTGGAGGAGTTGCTCACAGTAACTCCAACACATGGCCAGACCACCGCTCAGGAGATATCAGCAACTCTGTGATGTAATTGAGCATGACGGTCTGCCATGGAAGAAACTTGTTGGAATAACAACTGATGGAGCTTTATCGATGACAGGGAGGAAAAGTGGACTGGTGGCACTCGTTCACAACAAACTGGAAGAGGAAGGTGTGGAGGAGGCCATTTCTCTGCACCTCATCATCCACCAGCAGGTGCTTTGTAGCAAATGCCTGAAATTGGACAATGTGATGTCTGCTGTTGTGAAATGCATCAACCAAATCAGATCCAGGGGCTTAAAACACCGACACGTCCGTGCTTTTTTTCAGAGGGAATAGATTCAGAATATGGGGATGTGTTCCACTTCACGTTGGCTCAGCAGGGGAAACGTACTGAAGAGATTTTGGAGTTGATACCTTTCATGGAGACGGATGGAGTGGATGTTCCTGTGCTAAATGAACCCAAATGGCTCATGGACTTGGCTTTTCTTGTTGGTATCGCACATGAGCTGAATTTACTGAACAACAAGTCCAGGGGCAACTTGTCAGTGCTGCTTATGACAGCTTAAGCACATTCTCCACACAGCTTGTGTTATGGAAAGCCCAGTTCTCTCAGACAAGCCTTTGCCATTTCCCAGCATGCAAGCCGCTCGTGGTTGCGGGCACGCCATTCAGTGCCGAGAAGTATGTTGGTGTCATTTTGAGGCTACAGGAGGAATTTGATCACAGATTTGCAGACTTCCTAATTTTTGTTTATCTCTTCTCCTTTGATGTGCAAGATGCCCCTTCTGCTCTTCAAATTGAGCTTGTTGAGCTGCAGTGCAACGCTGAGCTCAAAGCAAAGGTCAGGGAGGTGAACGGAAAAGCAGACAAGCTAGGGCAGTTTCTCAGAGAGTTGACCTCTAGCTTCCCTGAACTTTCACAAATGTTCAAGCAGACCTCTTCATCAAGTTCAAGTACGATCCAGACTTGTAGCTCAGCTATGTGAGGAGGCCTCTAGCAGCAAAGACTAAGCAGGAGGAATCATGTTAAGAAAAAAGTTAAAAAACAGTTAATCCAGACGTTTAAATCCGAACGCAGCCGATAAAGATTTCTGAAGAAACCAAATTGTTGCTAAGAAATCTAATTATTTTATTACTTTATTACTTTTCTTATTCATTCTTCATTTGTTGTTCTTATTTTGTGTTAAATAAAAATAGATTTCAGAAGACTGAAATGTTTTTAACATTGCTTTTCTTGTAGAAAACCTAATGCCTCACCCAGACTCTGCCTTCAGCGGCCCCCAGCCAGAGTTTGAGACCCCTGTTTTAGATCCAAGCTCTCAGCGTCTCACGTTGACCAGGTCAGAGTCTGTTCAGGGGTGAAGTGTGTCCCTCTACCGAGTCTTAGTCTTCTTCACAAACCGTTCCCACCTCTTTAACATGGCCAGGTTAGTGGGACACTGGTCAGGATCAAACAGATGGCTCAGGCTTTGCGCCGCTGCAGTGGCGGAGAGAAATATGCAACAGTGGGACTACGAAGTAGAACAACATACAGCTTTTCACTAGAGGTGTTTTCATATGAAGACTCTTCAGCAGGGAACATTGGGTAGAGCGCCCACATGAATGTGGAACTGTGATATACTTTTACTTGCCTCCAAATTCAGAGGCTGCATCCTTCAAAGGACCCATCCTATTCTGGTGTCAGTACCAGACACCGGGTCCTTTGTGGACCAGGAAGACTGAAACCCAACAACTGTGAGTCTGGCCTGTCAAATTTATTCCCTCTCTCATGTCGGAGAATGTCTTGTCGTCTGGAAACCGTTACGGCGCTAACAGAAGTTAATAGTGAAGGACCCACCATACAAGCTCCCTCTGATCCTGGAGACATAACTGCAGTAGACAAAGTGGACAAATTCATAGTTCTATCAAAACGAGAAGGTTGGATGAACCTGAACAAGGCTACTAGCTGGACCTCTTCATGTTGCACTCGAGTAAATACAGGACGTTCATTTCCTAAAGACAGAAACGATTTTTAAGCCTGTTTCATTTTCAGCTGGTGAAGAACTGAGGTTACAGTTTTCTAAACATACTTCAACTGCTTTGTATTTATTTATGCCTATTTATAATCACTGTTCTGTTAAAGTTTCATTTTAAATATTATTAAAGCCGTACCCATTTACACAAAAGAGACTTTATTCCCTCACCGGACATGAGGAGCGAAGAGTAGGACTTTAGACGTAGCGTTCCACCCTTCGTAACTGTTGCGTAGCACCAGTAAGCGGATGAAGGCTGAGCCTCCAGACAACATCGTCATGTGATGAGGGAGTATGAAGAAGGACTTTGGTTTTATTTAGAGTGGTTTTTAACCCGATGGATAAAAACTTGTAAAACTGTCTCTTTACATGGTAAAGTGTAGCGACGTTCCATTTAAATGATTTTGGAATGAAGGCTGACCAGTAGCCCTATAAATGCATTTGGTGCAGGCCTGTTTTTGGTGCTTTCCTCTGGATTGAGAACGTGGTTTTGATTGGTTTTCTGTACCTTGGTGTTGTCGTATAAAGCGTGATTGTCCAGCAGCATCCGTCGTTCAAGTCGAGCAAATCTTCTCAGATCTCGCCCAAACTGCTGTGAAAGAGAGTCAATAGTCAATCACCTGGCTTCAGAGATTGGGCCTGATGTGTGAGAGCTGAACCAGTGATAGGGGACGCATGTTTTAATTAAACTAACCAACATCAGTGTGGTCTGAGCACTTGTTTTTATTGTTCCTGTCACTGAGCTTGTGTAAGCCGTCATACCCTGGAGCCTGTCCAGCCTAGAAGAGCGTAGGCATAATGGTCCAAAGGCGGAGACACCAGGTCCACACGGACAGCTCTCCAGCTCCTGTTGTCCCCCTCAGCACCTTGAAGACCTCCCTCCACCTGGCTTCCTTCCAAACGCAGGATCAGGAAACACTTTGCAAAGTGGTCCATGGCCTCGAACCGGTAGCTTGGAAGCTTTGAGATGTCAAGGGTCGAAGCCTGATACTCAGAGAAGAGAAGAATGCCCTAAAGAAAGAAAACATATATTATTATAAAGCCAGAACTAGATTTTATGAGTTTGAAACAAATACGGACTAAAACCATTGGATGGTAAGGCACATACATTTTTACATTGTTGGGACATTTTGTACATGATTCTTGGCAAAGTTACTTGCATTAGTACAGCCAGGCTAGTTTCTCCAATAAGAAACCTGGGAACACAGATCTGTGTGTACTTCATGTGTAGGAACGGTTTTCCACGTAGTGTGTTTACTATCCAGTACTCATGTGTGGAAATGTTCGTAAACATCAGAGCAGCTCTGACCATGTGTAGGAACAGGATCTAGTGGCAGAACGGGGGAACCGTCAGTAACGATGTCAGTGGAGAAACAGCTGCAGAACGCACCTGCTGCTAGACCCTAGAAAGACATCTGAGACCCACGGGAACCTGACATTCAAGCATGGCTGCTCTGCTATTATTGGCTCCGTTGCCCCAACTGCCTTTACAGGCTCTGCAACATTTTTGGTTGTGGGCTACCTAAGCAGCCAGCACCTCCGTCTTGCTGTCAATAAAGTTTTTCTTTTTTCTTTTCCAGGAGGAACTACGGGATTTCCCTCTTGAGCTTTAGAGAACGTGGTGTGACCCAAAATGACCTAACCAATATGCTCCTAACCAAATCCAACAGACGAGCTCACATCACTCCAGTTTTACAGTCCCTCCACTGGCTCCCAGTAGAATATACGTAGAATTCAGTTTAAAGTTTTAGTCCTGACCTATAGAGCTCTTAACAACCAGGCTCCAAGCTACCTATCTGAGCTTTTATCCCCACACACCACCTCTCGGAACCTTAGATCCACATCTGAAAACCTCCTGGCTGTTCCTCGAACCAGACTGAAAACCAAAGGGGACAGGGCCTTTCAGACTATTGCACCCAGACTTTGGAACAGTCTACCTTCAAATCTCCGTCTCTCTAACACTGTAGAGGTCTTTAAAAATCATCTAATAACTCACCTTTTCATCCAGGCGTTCCCTCCCTAAATGTTTCATAAAGATGGCTTTGTTCGGGTTCACACCTTCTCTTTGTTTATACTCTTGATTTTATTTTCTACGTTTATCACAGCTATTGTTTTTCTGATGTTTTTATTGGTTAGAGGTATTTGCCCTGATCTTTATCATGTTGTACAGCACTTTGTGATTTATATCTGTGAGAGGCGCTATATAAATAAACTTTTACTTACTTTACTTACTTACTATGATTAATGGAGGGCGTTTCTGGATGTAAATGACTGGACCGACGCAAGCACCTGTTGGGATTTATCTACAGACAATGGCGGAGGATCATGAGAGGCCACCGCTTGCTTCATAAATCAGTGTAGCCTCTGGAAATGGTCTGTTTTTCAATCTACAGGTCACTTCTTCTGTATCGGTCATTTGGAGACATAAGACTCCAACTGGAGCTCTAATCTACAGAAGAGACTGTTGCTTCAAGGCCCTTCCAGGCTCACTCTTATCTAAGACTGGTTTTTATTCACAGCATAGGACAGAAGAAATTTTAAAACTTTTAAGTTAAATAATCATTAAATAAATGCTTGTTTATTGTCACTTATAATAATTATAATATAAATGAAATGCTTTCATTAATCTGTGCTTGAATGACTGAAGTTTGAAATGAATGTTATGTTATTATTACATTGATTTATATATGGATCAGCAATGTTTGATAGGACAAGGCCATCACCTTCTACACTCACACAAGGTTCATCAAGGACAAATAAATTAATCAAAGGTCTCCCGCACCCATATAGGGGCCATACTGAGGATGTAAATTATAAAGGAAAAGCTCTTTAAAGCCTTTTTCATCTTCCATCCCCTTCTTACATTCTGAACCAAAGTACGCGTCAAAGAGGCGTAGGTAGAAAGCTTGTGGGTCTTCAGAATGACGCTGTTTGACTGACAAAGCTAACTTTAAAATGGCCTGTATTTGATATAGCGCCTTCTAGAGTCCTGGAACCCCCCAAGGCACTTTACAACACAACCAGTCATTCACCCATTCACACCCACATTCACACACTGATGGTGTTGAGCTACGATGTGGCCACAGCTGCCCTGGGGCGCACTGACAGAGGCGAGGCTGCCGAGCACAGACGCCACCGGTCCCTCCGACCACCACCAGCAGGCAACGTGGGTTAAGTGTCTTGCCCAAGGACACAACGACAGCGACAGACTGAGCGGGGCTTGTACTTGCAACCTTCCGATTACGGGGCCACCGTTGCCCAGGTTCTTTAGCATCGTAAGTGTATCTCGTTGAATTGCAGCTTCCAGCCAGTCGTAATCATTTGTAATCGCATCTTGCTGGCGATCAATGAACGAACCCACAGCATCGGAGGTTAATCTTATCAGAAAGATCTTGTCCTCATGAGTCACTCCAGGAGATCTCTGAAAATGGTGGCGAAGGTCACTAAGATACGTATCAACAGGGTATGAATTACCTGGTCGAGGATTGAATCTCTTGACGCTACGAGACATCCGATAGATGTCAGCCATGGTCACAGGTGAGTGTAGTTGGGCTGGCTGTAAAGCTGGCACAAACATTGCAGCAGCAGGTGGATAATGCTGAGCTGCTGGTGGATAATGTTGCTGAGCAGCAGGAAGGTATTGTTGAGCTGGCTGGGGAGCTGGTACCATCATCGCAGCAGCACCGGCAGGTGCAGCAGGTGGGTATAGTGGGGCTGGAGGCCCCAGTGGGTGTGGTTGAGTTGGCTGGAGAGCTGATCCAACCACACCAACAGATGGGGGCAGTGGTGCTGGAGGAGGTGGGTGTGGTTCAGTCGGCTGGAAAGCCGTAATAAATATTGAACTCCTTCCTAGTTGGTTAATTAACAGTTTCTCAGTTTATTGTGCCTCTACTATCAGCTCCCACTTCTTATCTCCTTCTGTATTGAACAAAAAGAGTGCAGCTCTTGCACCTTGGCTATTGTTTTGTTTTATTATTGCTAGACAAGCAATATAAGATGACACTTGTCCTACATGATCTTTAGATGTGACCAGTAGCATGATGATCTAAAAATATTTCTTGATGGTCATATTATTTTGAGAATGACCTGATTAAATATGCGTCTAGTAGTTTCTACGTTTGTCAGTCTTTTATTTTGTTTATTTTGTTTATTATATTTCTTGTTGTTTTCTGAGTATAAATACGTTAGTTGTTCACAACTACACATATTCCTCTGCTTGACCTTTAAACTAATTAGGGCCCCTCCTCAAGCACTTCCTTGTTTCTTGTAGTATAACCATTTTAGACAAAGTACACTTTTATAAATTATGAATTTTTCTTTTGTTTAGTACGTCTTTTGCCTTCCTGAAACGATTGTCATCTTTTCAAACACCTTTAGGGTTGTGTGTCTCTAAGAACACCATCAGTTTTTTTGAACATTCACGGTCTCTATGTGACAGATGAGTTTTATTTTCCTTAGATAAACCTGTTGTCCAATTTAACGTACGGAGTTTTAATTTATCTCCTGTTGACACATTATACACATTATTTGGGTAGCATTATTGAGTGAAATTGTACATTGTTGATGTAATCTGAAGCAACCTTACCTTACTGAATCTATGTGAAGTTGAAATATTATTTTTATGAATAGGACTGGTTTCGTTGTTAGTTAACTTCAGTGTTAGAAGCAAAGAGATAAACTTAAATAGTCACTTGGTCATATTCCCTAATTTAGCTCTGATGATGTGAATATAGGTGAAAGTTTCTGGTGAATAAGAGCAAACACATAGAGTCTATGGCATTATTATTTTGTGATATGAGCTTGGGGATGCTGACAAGCTCACCCTTTTTCCCAGATGGGTTGATTCTTTTTGATTTCATTAGATTACAATCTTCTGCAACAGCTCTTCTACTACAACTTCTCCTGCTACTCCTAGGTGATGTAAAACACTTATTGTGTTTATTTTCAATTTTCTTTACACGGATTATGGCTTTTTTGTTAGTTTGTTTAGTTTAGTTTAGTTTTGTTGTTTTATGCACACTGTGCTGCACGACTCTGCCCCTTGCTGACGTGAACTAGTAATTACAAGTTCCTTGGGATGGGTATTTTTCACATGTTATGTGAGGTCCAACTTTAACATCGGGTTGGCACAATGCTTGCCGGTATCCGACCCTTTTTTGTTTATGTTTTGTTTCTGGTGAGCCCTGAGTTGCCTCATGCCTCAAGAGGAGGGAAGCTGATAACAATTTCCTCACATTATTACACTGCCTGTATGGAATAACCTTAAACAATGGATGATACGGATTTTTGCTGAAAACAATTCAAACTCGACAGTGACCTCCCAGAATTTTCTTGTGCTTTTTCGCCACAGGTCGTGAAACCAGGAAATTGGGTTCTGATGAAGGTGCTAAAGCGAAACAGATGGGGCAGCCAGAGGTCCCTTCGAAGTACTCCTCATAAAGCCTGGTTTATGCTTCTCCGTCAGCTCCGCAAGGGACAGACACGCACGGATTGACGGAAGCGTTTTGCTCTTTTACTTCTCCGTCTCCTGGAGAGTGTTGCAAAGCAATTGCCTGGCAGGACCACAGAGGGCGTAGCACTGTTCTGTGGTATCATGTCATGTATCGGTCCAAGATCGTGTGTTTATATTGTGTTTTTTGTGTATATAAGAGACTTTTAACACGGACATATTTGTCTCTCATTCTCCCACCTCTTCATGCGCTCCCCACCTCTAAACCCACGTTTCCTGTTATTTCCGTCCACAAATAAAACGCTTGCTGCGCATCTTTTCACTCCTCCAGTCACGGGAGGATGAAACGCTCATATTTTTAGAGTTTTTTCGCGAGGCATTCTTCAAGCTTCTCCGTGTCTGCCGCTAGTTAAACTCGGCTCTCTTTGCAATGGTGGCGCTGTAAACAACAGCGGCGTCCTGACCAATCACAAGCTTGCGTAATCTGTTTCGTTCGACAGATGTTTAAAAAAGTGGGCTCGACTCTGTACGTACTTGTGTGCCTGCCGGATCCCTACGCAAG